GGGGGAAATTTGGGGAATTTGGGGGTATTCTAAGGCATTTGGGGAGAGAAAATTGGGATTTTTGGGGGAAAATTGGGATTTTTCGGGGATTTTTGGGGGATTTTTGGAAGAAAATTGGGGATTTTGAGGGAAATTTGGCAATTTTTGGGGAAAATTGGGGAATTTTTGGGGGAAAATTGGGGAATTTGGGGGGATTTTAAGGCATTTTGGGAGGGAAAATTGGGGCTTTTTGGGGGAAAATTGGGATTTTTCGGGGATTTTTGGGGGAAATTTGGAATTTTGGAAGAGAAAATTGGGAATTTTGGGGGAAAAGTGAGAATTTTTGGGGAAAATTTGGGAATTTGGTGGGATTATAAGGCATTTTGGGAGGGAAAATTGGGGATTTTTGGGGGAAAATTGGGATTTTTCGGGGATTGTTGGGGGAAATTTGGAATTTTGGAAGAGAAAATTGGGAATTTTGAGGGAAAAGTGAGAATTTTGGGGGAAAATTTGGGAATTTGGTGGGATTATAAGGCATTTTGGGAGGGAAAATTGGGGATTTTTGGGGGAAAATTGGGATTTTTCGGGGATTTTTCAGGGATTTTTGGGGGAAAATTGGGATTTTTCGGGGATTTTTCAGGGATTTTTGGGGGAAAATTGGGGATTTTGAGGGAAAAGTGAGAATTTTGGGGGAAAATTTGGGAATTTTGAGCTGATTTTGGGACTGAATTTTTGGTGATTTTGGGCTGATTTTTTGGGGGGGGCTGATTTTGGGAGTGAATTTTTGGTGATTTTGGGCTGATTTTGGGAGTGAGTTTTTGGTGATTTTGGGCTGAGTTTTTGGGGTTTTGGGCTGATTTTGGGAGTGAATTTTTGGGGATTTGGGCTGATTTTGGGATTTATGGGCTGATTTTGGGAGTGAATTTTTGGGGATTTCGGGCTGATTTTTGGGCTGATATTTTTTTGATTTTGGGCTGATTTTTGGGGATTTTGGGCTGATTTTGGGAGTGAATTTTTGGTGATTTTGGGCTGATTTTTGGGCAGATTTTTTTTTATTATGAGCTGATTTTGGGCTGATTTTTTGGGATTTTGGGCTGATTTGGGGAGTGAATTTTTGGGGATTTTGGGCTGATTTTTTGGGATTTTGGGCTGATTTGGGGAGTGAATTTTTGGTGATGGGGGGCTGATTTTGGGAGTGAATTTTTGGGGATTTCGGGCTGATTTTTGGGCTGATATTTTTTTGATTTTGGGCTGATTTTTGGGGATTTTGGGCTGATTTTGGGAGTGAATTTTTGGTGATTTTGGGTTGACTTTTTTGGGATTTATGGGCTGATTTTGGGAGTGAATTTTTGGTGATTTTGGGCTGATTTTAGGAGTGAATTTTTGGGATTTTCGGCTGATTTTGGGAGTGAATTTTTGGGATTTTCGGGCTGATTTTGGGCTGATTTGGGGGGCAATTTTGGGCTGATTTTTTTGGATTTTGGGCTGATTTTGGAGTGAATTTGTGGTGATTTTGGGCTGATATTTTTTTATTTTGGGCTGATTTTGGGGCTGATTTTGGGAGTGAATTTTTGGTGATTCGGGCTGATTTTTGGGCTGATTTTTTTGGATTTTCGGGCTGATTTGGGGAGTGAATTTTTGGTGATTTTGGGCAGATTTTGGGAGTGAATTTTTGGTGATTTTGGGCTGATTTTTGGGCAGATTTTTTTATTATCAGCTGATTTTGGGCTGATTTTCGGGGCAATTTTGGGCTGATTTTTTGGGATTTTGAGCTGATTTTGGCATGCTGGGGGAGGGGCTGCGAAATTAAAAAAAAATATATAAATTTTTTACAATTTCAACCCCGGAATCCCCAAATTTCACCCCAAAATCGCCCCTCCGCGGATTCCCGCCAAACCGCAGCTTTTTCCCGCCAAATCGCCGCGCCAAACCCCCTCCCCCAAGGAGCTCGCCCGGCCCCCTCCTAGACCTCGCTGGGGGTGACCCCAAAAAGCCCCAAAATCGCCCGAAATCGCCCCAAAATCGCCGCCGCCCCTCCCCCCCCACGCCGAACTCACGCGGTGGCGGCCGGAGAGCGCCGAGCTCTAAGCCACGCCCACCCCGCCCTCTCATTGGTCAGCGCTTCCCGCCCCCGCGCGCCGATTGGTTAATCCCGTTTTACTCCAGCCTTCGCTCGCTTCTCATTGGTCGCCGCCTCACGGTTGAGTTCCCGTCCCGCCTTCCGGGGTCAGGGGCGGCGTGGGCCACTCCCCTTTCGTGACGTTGCGCTGTGTGATTGGTGTACTTACGGGTTGGCCCCGCCCACGGAGCGCTTCTATTGGTTGAGGCCGCGCGGAGCTCTCGCGACCATAGAGGCGCCAAGGGCGCGCGGGGCGGAGCGGTCATCTTGGGGCGCCGCCATCTTGGGGCGGGCGGCGCTGGAGGACCGTCGCCATGGCGACGGCGAAAGGGCGGCAAGGACGCCGCTGTCGCGACAGACTTGACGTCATTTTCGCCCGTCGCGAGCGCTTGGGGATTTTGGCGGCGTTTCGTTCCGATGTGTGACGTCACGGCGGCGCCACGCGTGGATGACGTCATACGTGTGCCATGACGTCATGTCCAACCCAAATTTTCGTCTATTTTGGGAAATTTTCCTTTTTTCTTTTAATTATTTTTAATTTTTAGATTTTTTGAGGAGTTTTGTGGTAAATTTTGGGAATTTTTTGGGAGTTTTTGGGGTTTTTTTTAAAGAAGTTTTGGGGGAGATTTTTTTTTCGAGGATTTTTGGGAAATTTTTTGGATTTTTTGGGGGTTTTTTTGAGGATTTTTGTGGAATAATTTTGTTCATTTTTTGGGGATTTTTGGTCATTTTTGGGCGACTTTATGGCGGATTTGTGGATGGGATTTTTGGGGAATTTTGGAGGAATTTTTCAAGAATTTTTGGGCGATTTTTGGGGAATTTTGGAGGAATTTTTAAAGGATATTTTGGTGATTTTGGGGTGATTTTTGAGGGATTTTAGAGGGATTTTTTGGCCATTTTTTGGGGATTTTTTGGCCATTTTTGTTGGATTTTTGGAGGAGTTTTTGGGGGTTTTTAGAGGGATTTTTGGGCCATTTTTGGAGAAATTTTTGGCCATTTTTGGGGGATTTTTTGGCCATTTTTGTTGGATTTTTGAAGGAGTTTTTGTTGGATTTTTGCGGATTTTTTGGCCATTTTTGGAGAAATTTTTGGCAATTTTTGGGGGATTTTTTGGCGAATTTTGTGGATTTTTAGAGGAGTTTCTGGGGCATTTTTTGGGGATTTTTGGGCCATTTTTGTTGGATTTTTGGAGGAGTTTTTGGGGGATTTTTGGACAGATTTTTTGGCCATTTTTCGAGAAACTTCTGGCAATTTTTGGGGATTTTTTGGCCATTTTTGTTGGATTTTTGGAGGAGTTTTTGGGGGATTTTTGGACGGATTTTTTGGCCATTTTTGCAGAAATTTTTGGCCATTTTCCGGGGATTTTATGGCCAATTCTGTTGGATTTTTGGAGGAGTTTTTGTTGGATTTTTTGCAGATTTTTTGGCCATTTTTGGAGAAATTTTTGGCCATTTTTCGGGGATTTTTTAGCGAATTTTGTGGATTTTTAGAGGAGTTTTTGGGGGCATTTTTGGGGATTTTTGGGCCATTTTTGTTGGATTTTTGGAGGAGTTTTTGGGGGATTTTTGGACGGATTTTTTGGCCATTTTGGGGGGATTTTTTGGCGATTTTTACTGGATTCTTGGAGGAATTTTTGGGTGAATTTTGAGGAGTTATTGGGGAACTTTTAAGGGATTTTTGTGGGAATTTTTGAGGGATTTTTTGGCCATTTTTTGGGGATTTTTTGGCCATTTTGGGGGGATTTTTTGGCGATTTTTACGGGATTCTTGGAGGAATTTTTTGGGTGAATTTTGAGGAGTTTTTGGGGAACTTTTAAGGGATTTTGGGGGGGGAATTTTGGGGAGAATTTTTGGGGATTTTTCCGACATTTTTGGGTCTTTTTCTGGTTGTTTTCTGTTGGGGCTTCCGTAACCCTTTGTGACTTTTTTAACCCTTTCATGGTGCGTTTTCCTGACTTTTTAACCCTTTCATGTCACATTCCGACCACATTTTAACCCTTCCCGCGCCAATTCCGACCACTTCTGACCCGTTTCTCACCGATTTATTCCCAAAAGGCGGCTCCTGAGCGCCCCCCAGAGGTCGGCCAGCGCCTGGCGCACGGCGCCGCAGGAGCAGTAGAAGACGAGCGGGTCGAGCGCGGCGTTGAGGCCGCTGAGCAGCGTGGCGTAGACGCGCCAGCCGGGGCTGCGGCCCTGCCAGAACCCCACCACGTGCGAGACGTTGTAGGGCGCGAAGCAGAGGCCGAAGATGACCATGGTGGCCACGGCCAGGCCCACGGCGCGGCGCCGTTTGGCCGCCGGCAGCGCCGGCCGCGCCAGCAGCGCGCGGACGAAGCCGACGTAGCAGAAGACGGTGACGGAGAAGGGGGCGAGGAAGAGGATGAAGAAGAACTCGAGGCGCAAGGGGAGGACGAAGCGGAGTTGGGCGGCCGAGAAGTCGTCGTAGCAGCGGTGGGGGGAGGGGGT